ATGCAGGGTGTTAGAGACACACAGCACATGATTGTTACTAAGCTATAAACTAAAGGACTTTTGGCTTTAACAGTTAACTCAGGGCACAGCCCTGTTGCTGCTCTCATCCATGGGAGAACATCTGCTGGCCCACCCTGTGTCCTGGGGCAGCAGTTGGCTTCTAGCTCCTCCAGCCTCTGCCAAGATTCTGACTCCCCAAAAAGGTGCATGCTGTGTCCTGTGATAAAGAGAAGTGCCTTTCTCCATCTGACTTACTAAAACATGAGAGAGAGAGAGAGAGAGAGAGAGAGAGAGAGAGAGAGAGAGAGTATTCTAAGATAATTTTTCACTTCTGGGTTTCAAGGACAATCAGAAATAACACAAGCCTATGAATCAGTTGTACTTTGTATTGTATTTTAAGATGAGTTCTTTCTTAACAATTACTAGCAGATGAAGAGCTTACTTTCAATAGAAAAAAAGAAAGAGGAAGCCCAGGTCAAGACTGTCGCTGGCCTCTCATGTCACTAAGGTGACTGGGGAGGATGAAGATGTTGACATTTGACAGCAAATGTAGATGATGTTGACTTTTGACATTGTAAATGTAGTTGGTGCAAAGATTTAATTTGCAGAAAAATGGCTGGATAGAACCTAGAGGACCTGTATTCACTCCTGTGAATGTTGATGGGGAACCTAGAGGACCTGTATTCACTCCTGTGAATGTTGATGGGGTTTTTACACAACATGTTGATCCAGTCAAAGATGACTCAGGGAGAGAATAACAAACCAGATTAAGAGTTGATGAAGTCCATCAGGCTAAAGAGATGGCTCAGACGCTATTCCAGGGGACCCAGAGTTAATTCCCTGCACCAACATGGTAACTTACAACCATCCGTAAGTCCAGATCCAGAGAAGTCAATGCCCTCTTCTGACCTCCTTGGCACCAGGCACACAGATTCATACATGCAGGCCAAACGCTCAAACACATATAATAAATAAATAGAAATTTAAAAAGTTAATTAAGTCTTAAAAGAAGATTGCTACAAGGAATGAAAGTGATCTTGTTGTCATGTCTGGGTAGGACTATTGGTTGCTGTCTTCCTTCAGGTATTTGCATGGTGCCTTCTGATGCCATGAAGTTAGTCCTCAGGGAGAAGATATTTAGGTCGGTTCCAGTTCAGGTGCCTCTGGGCCCTGCATCTGAAGTGTGTGGTGTCTTTAGTGATAGGGACATACTTCTATCTCTGGGGCAACCAAGGACAAAAGCAATAACCCGTAATATTTTAGTGTCTTTGGACAACTCTGACCAAAGCTTGAAAGAGGTTGGGCCTGGTTGCTGAGAGTTTTGTTAGATGATCTTTGGCTCTTGGAGGGAGCTCCAGATGGTAAAAGTCTGTCTAAACTATGTGCATATTTATACAGACACTCATATGTATGATAGTTTTTTTTTAAGAGACAAGGATATGACTTTTACAGGGACCTTTACAACAGGTCCTTCACTCTACTTTTGCCTCCTTCACTCTACTTCTGTATGTATCTGTCTCCCACATCCCTAATTAATGGCCTCTCTTTTCCCCCCTCCCATCCCCCATCACATCCCCTGATGGACAGGCAAAATGTCTGAGTGCTTGCCACCGAGCCTGACGCCCTAAGTTTCATATTTGAAACCCACGTGGTAGAAGTGGAGAACCAACTCCTGCAAGCTTTCACCTGACTTCTACACATGTGCTGTGACACATGATTGTATGACACACACACGTGCAAACACACACATATACACACACACATATACACACACATATACACACACATATACATACACACATACATACAGACACAAAATACACATACATATACACACACATACACACATACACCTGGATTTATGTAATACTTTTAAAAAATGTAAACCCATCAAGTCCTGCTTGTACTTTCTAAATATTCTTGGATGTGTGCGCTTCCCTTAGAGAAGGGTTAATTTCCCAAGCACTATACACTGAGAGCAAATGACTCCCCTGCTCCCCGCAGCTCCTGGGTTAGGAGAGGAACCTTGTGTCCATGTCCCTCTCCTTTTTTGATATTTGATGTGGCTCGGACTTGCACGGGTCTTTGGCGATGCTGCTACTACTGTTTGACTTCTTATGCAGCTGCCCTACTGTTCCCAGAAGACATTGTTTCCTTTCATTCGGTGACACCCCCACCCATTCCTCTACTCTCTCTGCCTCCGTTCTCAATGGCCCTTGAGTCTTGAGATGTAAATATAGTGTGATGTTCCTCGAAGGGCCGAGAATTCCACTATCTCTTATTCTTGCACCTTGACCGATTTGAGTCAGTTTGATTTTATTGCAGAATGAAGAGCATCAGGCTCACTCTGTCCTTAGGCAGGGACTCTGAGGCTCTGGACACATTGGTTCCATCACATCCATAGGTGGAAGGAGCTTGTTCCTAGTCGAGGTATGGAGGTTACTTACAGCATGTGTTTGTTCTTGTTTTTTCATGGTGGACACCCACACTGTAGCCATGGCTCTGAGGCTCACTGTGTAGCCCCGGCTGGCTTCATACTGACAGCAATCCTCAGGCTTCAGCCTACTGAGTGCTTAGATTATAGATGTGAGACACTACACAAGGCTAACAATTACATTTTTAAAAGTACTGAGCCTTTTAGTTTTAAGTTCTATAAAATATTAGAGTTGATCATTTTAATTTAGTCAATTTTCATTACTTAAAAAACCCAGCTAATTCTTTTTCTTTAGATAATGAGTCTTCTTCCTTAGCAGAAAGGAAAGCTTCAAATCTGCATTCTCAAGGTGTGGTTGTCATGAGTGTGCGGATAATTTACAGGAGACAGTGATGTGTCTGGCCACTCCAGGGCTGGGCTTTTGCTTCTGAACGAGCAGAAGATGTGTGCTTCTTGATGTTCATACATAGAAAAACCTAATTTCCTTTGGTTGGCATGGAAATCACCCTGGGGGGGGTAAAAGAACTCCTTGCTGTACAGAAAGCATATGAGAATCCAAGAAGGCTGCAGGTGAGGGACGTTTAGAGATAGAAGAGTCTAACAATCTTTCCGGTGTCCAGGTTCTCAAATAAGACGTTGGTTTGCTATTAGGACAAATTTATATTTGAGCCTGTATTGGACATTTCAGTTGGTGTTCAAGAGCAGTGGGGAAACATTGACTTAGAAAGTCTTTCTTCTCCTCTCCCTCCCTCTGCCTTCCCCTCCCCCTTCTTTCATCCATTAAAGATGTAAGAACATAATTACTTATCTATATGGTTAGAAAAAATATTTCTATCTTTTTTCACAATTACTTTTCAACTTTATTTTACCAAAAGTTGTTGAAGCATTCTTTTAAAAAATACTGATTAAGAGTGAAGTTTAGAACACTCTTGTCATGATTGATATAATTGATAATATCTTCCTACCCTCGAAGTCCCGGAGAACTGGAGGGTAGAGGGAAGTTAAAAGGACAGCAGAAGCTTGATTTCCATCACATATCAGCCATGAAGTAAGGACAGATACGGTATTTACTGTAATATGAGGATATGAAGCATTAGAGATGCCGGCAGGAGCAGAAAAGCAATAAAACCTCCACGGTTTTGAGAAAGGAGTCATAGTTCTGTGTTTTGAACCTGCAGGAATCTGAAATATTCTTGCTCTATAAGGACCCTGTTGGAATGAAATGAAAAAGTCCTACTAGTCAGAGTGCATGAAAGCAAGAGTAACTGGCTGTGCAGAGACGAGGGAGGGAGGAGCCACGGTAACCTTGATCCATCTGCAGCCCTTGGCGGGTCACAACTTTCCCCCTTGAGACGCGGAGGCTGCTTTCCCACCAGTCGTCTCTCGGCTCATTTATACACTCAGATTCCATCCAGGGAAAGCCTTTCATGTCTATTTATATCACAGTCTACTTCGTTTTGTTTATTTAATGATTTATTAAATGCATTAAACAGCACGACTCCCTAGGAGAGTTCAGACCTAGGAATAAAATTATTTTAGAATTATGTTTAGGTTGTGATTTATAGAATTGCAAATTGTCAAAGACATAAGGGATCGCGGTAGAACAAAACGCTGTTGCTTGGAGCCCACAACTTAACTCCCAAGCTTTACTAGGAAGCTGACAATTTTCACGAGAAAGTCTAGAGGGAAGGCATACGCAAGCGGAGTCAGAGCACACGGATTGAATATATGTGCACAGCAATGGAAGCCCAGTCGGGAGGCAGTATCAACAAAGAATACAAATATAGGATCAGCTTTGTAAACCAATCCAGACCTTGGCCACATTCCCACCAGGATTTGCAGTCGCTCTGACAGAAAAGAGAAAGTGATTTTTCCTTAAAAAAAAACAAAAAACAAAAAAACACCGTTCTTGACTTGTGAACTTCTGGTGTAGTCTGTAAAAAGTAATGCAGCTTTAGGCCTCTTTCATGGTGTTATAGACTTAGAAACTAGAGCTCCCGCCCCTGCTAGTGCCAGTTACTTGACACATCTCTGAACCTTTCTGTGTTTCAGTCTTCAGTAACCCCTTCATCGCTACAGCAAATGCTGACTGCCCACGGAGTGTATTTACCAGTTCCTGGCATGGAGGAGCGAAGGAGAATGCTCAGAGCAGAGGCTGGGGTTATAGTGATACAAGACGTATGGAAAGGCCCTCGTAGCAATTAGTAAAAGAGATAAACTGGGTAATAGAAGGAGAACATGAAGGAATATGGAGGATTCCAAGAGAGGAAAGGGAAAGAAGAGACGTAACTATAATCCCCAAAGCATACAATGAAATAAAACCTTCTGCTAAAAATCTAAGCAGCTGGGGTTTCTTCTTTTTCATCTTTTTTTCTTCCATTTTTTTAAAATTTATTTATTTATTAAAAATTTCCACCTCTTCCTTGCCTCCCTTGTCCCTCCCCCTCCCTTTCTTGTCCTAAGAGCCGTCAGGGTTTCCTGCCCCACGGGAAGTCCAAGGTCCTCCCCACCTCCATCCAGGTCTATAAAGGTGAGCATCTTTTGAGTATCACTAAAGGATTCTAGGAAGAGAAGTGAGATCAGGTTTGTCTTTTAAAATTAACACTCAAGCAGTTGTGTGGAGTCTCGATCAAAGACAGGCCTGGTGTCACTTAGGAGACAGTGGTGATTAATTAGATGAGAAATGGTTGTTGGTAAAGTATGATATCAAGAAGAACTTGTCTTCGAAAGACTTAAAAGTTTGATTGAAAGTTTGGGGACTGAGACTGCAGCTGCTTTGACACCCATTGAGAAAATGCCAGTGGTTTGGACTGGTCCTGTTCAGACCTTTACAGCTTTGCTTTACAGCAGCAACTGTTAACTGCTAGAGAGGCTTGGGAGCTGTGCCCACCGAGCTACGTGTGTAGAGAGGCACTGGGAATCTGGAAAGACAGCGAGGTTAAAAGCTGGCTTCTGTTGTTTCGTTCCTGCTAATAACTAGCCTGAGAAAAGTGGTCCAAATTGACAGCCTTTATGATTTACATTTGAAGAACTGCCTTTACTTCTCTGAGGAAATGGGAAACAGGCCATCTAGAAAACTCTCCCCACAGTTTGGAGGTCTTGCAGTGCCATGACTTGATGGACGAGGGCACCTGAGATTGCCGTTCCTAACTCCAGAGAGCAAATGGGAGACAATAGAATTGACGAATGCTTGACTCCAACTCGTTCCTTGAGGATCTGCCCATGCATTTTCTGTCACTTTTCCTTGTGGTCTCTTAGCGTGTAGAAAGATAAACTCAATAAAATTGTAGAGAAGTGCCTGTCTGCTGGGTAGTGTTCCGAGAACGCGAGGTCAAGTGTACGCTAACCCTTGGCAGGAAGTGGAGGGGCTGTCTTCTCCTACTCGCAGTCAGATCCGTTTTCAAGGGGGAAGCATTGCAAAGAGCCTGACTTCTGGGTAAGACTCTCATCATAGAGTGACCTTCGTGTTTACAGCAGTCAGACTTGGGTGTCAGGATCTGACGGCCATCATTGAGCAGGCTCACAATGGATACTGTCTCTTTTCCACATTTATTATTATTATTATTAGTGCTTGCATGTGTGTGTGTGCTTGCGCACACATGCAGTGCATGTTTTCATGCATATGAGGATATGCTTACTCGCATATTCATATGTAGAGACCTGAAGTTGACTTAGGGAGTCTTTTTCTAGTACCCTCCCACCTTGCATTTTTGAGACAGAATTCTTAATAAGTCTTTCTGGGCAGTGAGGTGGCAGAATTTGCAGGATTCCAGTCCCTAGCACTGGGATTTTGGAGTGTGACTCAGTGCCTGGTCTTTTACATGCATGCCAAGTCTCCCAACGCAGGTCCTCATGCGCTCAGAGCAGGGACTTTTATCTGGTAAGCTACTTCCTCAATACTCAAGGTATAACTCCTAATTCTCCCCATCTGTTTGGTTTTGGATCTAGTGCCATGCAGTTTTGGAGTGACGAGGAAAGTTATTCATGTGGTAGAGTGAGATCATTGTTTCAGTTTAGGTAATTAACGTAAGACTAACTTACTTCTGTTTCCTCCAGTCAGTACTGAATGCTTCTTTATCCAACTGTGTCGGCAAAATGTAAAGGTGGAAGATTGGAAAGCTGAGGAACTCCCCTATCATGAGGTTCTCATAGTCATCCTAGAACTCTACGTGGTGTACAAATTGTAGCTCTGTTTGGTCCACTGGATCTGAAACAGAGTAGGACACACTTAACCAGGAATCCATTCTTAACAAAATGCTGGGTACTTATAATCACAAGCATCTTAAAGACCTCAGGTAATCACAAGCATCTTAAAGATCTCAGGTGATTCTCAGACACATTGAGAGAGATTTTGCTTTTTGAAAGTTGCTTTTATCTCCCCCCTTTCAAAACCACAGAACAGCCCACACATGTTCACCACTGCCAGCGTTTGGCCTGCTTTTTCCTGCCTACACAGCTCTGCTGGCCTGGATTCCTACATGGTGGACTAGAGCAGCGCACGTCTGAAGTTTCTGGGAGTGCTTGGTCACTGGCAGTGGGTTTGACTAACAACTCCTGAGGGCTTGATGTCATGTTGCCCAACCCTGTGCCCGGTTTTGATAGGTGGGCATTTGAACTCAGCTTTGATGTTAAGGCCCAATTATAGTTTTCCCATAAACAGATGCATGTAGATCATAAAATGTGAGAGTAATTAACCAAACAAGTAAGTGTGTTTGTGTATATGATGTGTGTGCATGTATATGTGTATGTGTTGGTGTATGTGTGTGTTTGTGTATATGATGTGTGTGTATGTATATGTGTGTTTGTGTTTATGATATGTGTGTGTGTATGTGTGTATATGTGTTTGCAACTGTAGGGACGTGTAGGTCAAAGGTCAGTTTGGGACCGCTGGTTCCTTTCTTCTGATGGGGGATCCAGGGACTGAACTCAGCTTGTCTGGATGGTGCAGGAAACACTTTTGCCTGCTGACCCATCTCACCCATCCAGACTGTCTCTTTAAAATTAGTACCAGGGCCTAAAGAGTTCACATAGTTACTAATTCATTTTGAGCCTTTTGCACATTATAATCCTCTTATAAGCTGTGGCAATGTTTGATGTGATATTTGAAATTTTGCTTCCAGACATTTCATTTAGGTGAGCTATTAACCCAAAACTACATGTCTGTGGAGTCATTTCGAAGGCAGTGTGCTTTTTGTTTTGCTTTGTTTTGGACTTTTTGCTTTGTTTACAGTCATGATTATCAAGCCTAGAATCTTGTGCACGCTGGACAAATAGCCTGCCCCTGAGGCACACTGCCAGCCCTTTGACTGCTCTTATCTAGCATTAGGAAGGAGGAGGTCTGGGTAATTAATTATTCAGGCTTTCATATTCTCTCATTTTGCAATCAGCAGGATTTAGTATGAAGGGCCTCAGTTGACTCAATTTTCTTGTTTTGTTTACAAAATACATGAATTCTGATTCAAATAACAGCCTTTCAGAAATTAATGAACAGCTTGTAGCATATAAATAAAATGTTCTCTTGTAAAAGTAGCCCTGTCTTGAGTCGAACTCCTGTGTCTTTAAATTTACTGCCCTTTACTGCCGGAGCTTTGAGGAACTATTCCTATTTGTTATTTAACATACACTTCCACAGCAAGGTTACTTTTTCTGGAGGTTGAATTGGTGTCAAATATTGAATCTTTTAATTTTCTATATTTGCGATTTTTCAAATTCTCATATTTCTGTGACTTTAGTGTCACACTGATTTACATAAGTTGATTTTTGTTTGCTTGTTTCTTTATTCTTTTTGGTTTTTTGAGACAGGGCTTCTCTATATAACAGCCCTAGGTGTCCTGGAACTAGCTCTTATAGACCAGACTGGCCTCGAACTTACAGAGATCTGCCAGCCTCTGCCTCCCGAGTGCTGGGATTAAAGGTGTGTGCGCCACCACTGCCTGGCTGCTGTTTCTTTTCAAAGGACATTGAAGGGAGGGTTCTTGAAACTTGGGGCCCTAACATTTGAACAGTTCTAACCCCATGGATGTGAGAAAAAGCATCTTGTGTTATTTGGCCCTGTATGATAGAATGGGACAAGCTTTCTATTTGTGTCAATAACAATATGGGAAGGAAAAAGATCAGTCCTGGGCTGATAAATTCTTCTCTGGCAGTTATTCTTGGCAAATCTTAAATTGAATTTAAGATGTGACTTTGTCCTTTTTTAGGAATTTCTCGTGGCTCTTTAGACATGTATGTTTTTAAACATGGAAACAATTTGAATTCTGTTGTCTGCACTGTAACAGCTGAAGTATAAGCCATCTTGTATCCCAGCCTTCAACAGTTTTGGATAAAGTACTTTGTCACTCTGTTTAGCCATCATTCAATAGCTATTGGTCAGGAGGAAAAACTATATGGGATATGAAGATGAAGAGGGACCCGTTCTTATTTGATAAAGTAGCCCACGTGAAATGATAAATAATGTATTCCGGGGTTGTGAAAGCATAGCATATTTCTATTTTTCTTTAAAATGAAGGTATCTTTATTATGTTTTCCTGAAAAATGATAGTTCTGCTGCCTCTTTCTCAAGCTATGTTTGTGTCTAGTGATAAGCGCCCTCATTTCTTTCTTGGATTGTTTTTTGCTCCACCCCTTGCTCCACCCACTCTCTCCTCCAGTGGTCCTGGTCCCCAAAAGTGCAAGCTTTGTGCCTCTGGAAGCATGTGTATGAGAGGGTGGGCCTGCTCATGTGTGTGCATTCATTGGAAGCTTGCACACGATAAGCACCAAGTTATAACTGTCATATGACTCGACTACTTATTTAGTCTCATATTTTTTTTCTATAATTTATCCCTCCCATGGAAGTAATCTTTCATATAAAACCATGAAGTTCTCCTTTGATGAGTATTTAGTCTTCATTTTGCTAGAGTTTTATTTGTTTAACTACTTCCTTCTTTATGGGCTTTTCAATACTTTAAAATTTTCACTCAAGAAAGTCTTGTCCTCCAACAACATTAACTCACATACTACCAACAACATAGAAGAAAAACCATTCCGTGACCTTAGCTGTAATCTTGAGTTCTCACAGAATCCAAGTACTCTGCAGGGAAGTCAAGATTTTGAACCTAGTGTTGGATGCTCATTGAGTTATAGGCCAATCTGGTCCAGACAATGAGATCCTGTCTCTAAAAAGTAGAAACATTAAATCTCTGTCCTTATATATTTATCAATAACTGGCATCACTAATGGTTTTAAGTTACATTTTAAATAAATAGAATATTATACTGTTTTCTTCATGATCCTTCCCTAAAATCCCTCCTAGTCCCAACCCCGACTTGCTCTGAAATTGATGTTCTCTTTTTCTTTGTTGTTATGCATATATGCATAACTGTATCAATATATTTTGCTGAGTCCATTTACTGTGTCTTATGCGTATATAATTTTAGGGCTGACTATGTATTGGATAGTCATTATGGGGACTATAATGAACAGAGAATTCTCCTTCTCTCAACAGTCTCCAGTTGCCTGTGGTTTTATCTGGGGGAATAACCATGAGAAATCACCCTTTCCACATTAGCATGTCTGTTGGTGTTCTCATTGTTCAGGTCTTGTTCGGGCAGTCATGTTAGGTATTATGGAAGAGCTTGCTTTTATAATTTCTAGGAGCCAGCCTAATCTTCTGGCTTTTAACAATACTTCTGTCTCTGTTGGGGACTGCAGGCCCCTTGACTTTCTCAGCTGGGTAGAACTACTGATTGTTTCCCTCCCTTGGCAGCTTGCATTGGACTTTCCTGTACTAGTAAAGCTAACCTGCAGGAGAGAGGCTTTCAGGTTAGATCCCCCTCAGAGAGTCTAAGTCCTGTATCCTATGTGTGCAGGTCTTTGGCAACAGGACTTACCTGCAACCTTGGTGAAGTAACCAAGGGCAACAGCAATAGCTTATATTATTTTGGGGGTCAGCAGGACTCCCCTATGAAAAACTCAATAGAGGTTTCTCAAGACTTGTACTGGGAGTCTTGTTAGATAATATAAGACCCCTGTGGAGAGCATTGTCAACCCAAGCAACAATTGCATTAAGCGTGTTTGTGTACACTTACATGTACTATGTATATACTTTAAGGCAAATATAAAACAATATGAGTCTTTGAGTCTATATCAAATGTTCATTGTGCTATTTTTCCCTTTTCCTCCTTCTTCTCCTGTATTGGTCTCTTTTCCCAACTCCTTTTTTTCAACTTCTCCCCTTCAAATCACCCCATCCTGCTGTTTGCCTAAGTGACATCACACATTTGTATTTACTTTCGCCTTTGTTGATCATTTTTGGCATGATTATTTGTTGTTCTTCTTTTGACTGTCTCCCCATGCCACATAACCATTTCTTCCAGTGGGTTTGTTTGCATGCTTCACATAGGTGCTGCTTCTTTGTAGGTTCTGAACTCTGTTCTTCAAAGTAGGTTGCAAATATTTTTCTTCCATGAATCCTTTTCCTACATGGGAAGGAAGTTTATTGGGAAAGGTGGGGGGAGAGAGAGTCCTATGAATATTTTTAAAATTTTGTATTGATGCATTATTCCATGTAGATAATATAGTCAAATTTCCTTTTTATTGCTCATACTTTATAAAACTTTGGAGCCAAACTAGAGCGCTTCTCATTTCAAGATCTAGCTGATACTTATTCGTGTAACTTGTCTATTACTTTCATAGCTTTATTTTGTCACTTAAATTCAATCCATCTGTTTCATCTAAACTGTTCTTATGTGTTTAATTTTTCAAATAGACTGAACATTTCTGATTTGAATGAGGGATACTCAAAATGAATGTATGCACAGATTAATGTCAAGCAAATGAGAATAGTAGCAATCTGGCATGTTTTAGCCACAGAAGAAATATGGTATACTCTGTATGTGTTTAAGTTTGCTTTTATAATGAGTTGCTCTATAAAGCTTTACAGTTTTATGTGGTTTCTTAGTAGTTCTGAAACCATCTCTCAGGTTCTTACTCTGATATCTGACTCCTGTGTTTTTACTTATAAAGATTAATTAGATAAACATCACAATAGAATTTCTTTGATGATACCTTTGTCAAAATCTCTTGAGAAGAATGGATTTTGGTTCCATTTCTACCCTTAAACAAGTCATCATGGCCAAGGGCAAGGGGAATTCTGTTCTGGTGTGAGATCAGATCAGAGGGCAGACTAGAGTTCCATAAAAGTTATGGGTGTGAACATGGCTAGTGTGGACGGCCTGTCGTGAGCATGAATATGTGTGAGCAGGAAAGGGTCTTAGAGATCCAGACAATAGAACTAGATTTTTTTCATTCCTTCAAGCTCACCCTGTCATTTAATTAACAATTTGGGCTCATCTAACCATATACACTTGTTTAAGATGCCATGATAGAATTTTTGTTGTTGTTGTTATTTTCTACTTTATTAGATCATAAGTTTGGGGCCAAAAAAGGAGAATTTTATTCATACCATTTTTTCCTTCTTCCCATGGACGCTGATTAATGCTGAGCACCAGTCATCCCCCTTACGTGCTTTAAAGTAGACAACAACTCCCTCTTCTTTCCCTTCACTTCTGTCTCCACAGACTGTGCAAAAAAAATGATCTTTAAGAGTAAGAAAAGCTAGGCTATAGCAGAAATCAATACCATAAGTGTATTGATGGAAAATTCTATACACTTTCTATTACAATCTGTATTTATATAACATTAAATTTTATTTATTCTAAGCTGGGGAAAGATAAGAAAAAACTATGTTAAAGCTACTTCTCCTGCTCATCCTTCTCACTGCCCTTGCCCTCCCCTTCCCTCCTCCATCTCTTGCCCCCACTTTCTCCTTCTCTTCCTCTTTCTCCTTCTTTTCCGCTTCCTGCCTCTTATTGTTCTTGATCTTTGTTACAAGACATTGATTCTTTAGAAATCATCCTAGGGCCATGGTTTAGTTCTGGAATTTCAATTTGTTGTTATATGGGGGCTGTGAATATGTATCTGTAGAATTATGAAGAGAAATAACAGCTGACTTAAAACTTTACTTCCACCTTAGATCACTATATTAATAAAGAAAGTAAATATCTAATGGTTATAATTGCTAACATATTACTAGTGATGAATTATGCTCCACGAAAACAAAAAAATGATGACTATTAATCTAGAAATTGATTTCTGCAGAACTTTAATGATGCTTCTGGATCATTTCCGAGATCATTTGCTTATGTTTAGCAGTGAAATGGGAGCTTTAAGCAATTAGCAGTTTATAGAGGGAAACCACTGATTACTGAATATTGCTAGGGTAAGATTCAGGGAATGTGGGCCGATGCAAAATGTAATGCTTCGTTCATCTAAAATCTTCCAAATAATGTATTCCTTAATTGTATGTGTTTTAGTATGTGCTGCCTCAAAGCACAAAGGAAAAGGATGCTCACTTCAAGAGAAAAGAGGATGTTATTAAATAGAAATCAATAAAGATATCCTCTAAGAAATCGATTACTATAGGATGTCTGATATTTGAAAGTGTTATTCTTGACACTGTATGGCAACAGCATGATTATTTGAAAGAGTTGAAAAAGCAAACAATAGTAGGAGATGGTATAATGAGTAAACTGAGATTCTTCTAAAAATAGAGTTCTCGAAAAACTGCTGCAGTTAAAATTGTAGGCAGTTATAGCTTAACTAAATATAGGAAAGAAGGCAGTGGTTTGGTTTTGGAAAAGTTTTTGCTGTTTTGGTTTTTATTATTATCATCTGTTCTCCAGTCACGCCCATTTTATTATTTGTAATAAACGACAGTCATGTTTCTGGTATGAACTGCCACCTGACTGTTTTTGCATGCTCGTACCTTTCCAATTTCTTGTCATTATTGTGCAGTCTCTCACTCCCTGGTCCAAATGCCAAATTTGGAGTTTTTGAGATTCGAGGCATAAAATGCCTTCTTTTCCTATAGCGGCTCACTCACAGCTTCGGAAACAGCATGCTTTTACTGTTCCTGCGCCGCGCTAACCCGCTTTCCATTTACAGAGTGGTAGAAGACGCTCATGTGGTGACGATAGCCACTTTTCTTTCTAACACTGTCACTGGGGCTCTTTTAGTATATTTTACACATTCTTATCTTTTATGGATGAGTCTTCTGCTCCAGCCTGTGTGGATGTGCACTGCTTGTGAGTCTGGCGTGCATGGAGGCTGGAAGAAAGAGATGCCCCCCTGGAGCTGGAGGTACAGGGAGCTGTGTGCTGCTCAACATGGGTGCTAGAAACCAAACTCTGGTCCTCTACAAAAGCATACACGCACGCACGCGTGCGCGCGCACGCGCACACACACACACACACACACACACACACACACACACACACACAGTGCTAGTGAGGTCAGAAGAGAGTGCTGGATTCCCAGGAACTGGAGTTACAGGCCATCGTGAGGCAGCCGTGAATGTTGAAAACCACACTCCGGTCCTCGGGGAGAGCTGTACCGTGTTCTAACAATTCCCCCAGAGTCATGTCTTTTAGCATGCTTTCATTGCTAAAGTATGATCAAGGGGAAGAGGTAGTATAATTCAGGGTGTTGCATAGAAACAAAATGCTTATTCTCCCATTTTAATAACAAGGAATAGGAAATAATGATACTATCTACAAAAATCACATTTCAGGTTAAGGGTGTTTTCTTTCCATTTATTGAAGCTTTACTGTGCACACTCTGTATTAAGGACTTTATATACATCTTCCCTTTGTCTTCATGTCATCTTAAAGGGAGACACATATAATTTGCCTCTCACATAAAAGGAAACTGGATGGAGTTGCTAAAAACTAAGTAATGCCCAAATCACAGACCTGTAAATAATGTATTTAGCAGTAACTCTGATTGCTACTGTTGCTCATACAGTCTCTAACCTATTTGCAGACTCTTTCTGAATTCACTTTCTGACTTTATACTGACTTAAGCCATTTAGTCTATTTTCTTTAGCACATTTATCTGCAAATAATTATTCTTGCCTAGTGTTACCTTGGTAGCTTTCTACATGTTTGGGAAGCTGCATGAGACTTAATCTCTCCACATTTCCTTGTTCTTACAGAGCTCCTAACACACAGGAACATAGAAGAGTTTTAAAACTCACACCACCGCAACTGTAGTGCCCTTGGTCCCGTGACAACCACAGGACTGAATCTTCATGATAGATTAGCACAGCTGTAGAAAGGGTATGCACAATTTTAAATTTAAAATCATCCTACGCATAAGGAAGAGAGGGCATTTCCTTTTGTTTGAACTGAAGAGAATTTAGGCAAATTCCAGACCTCCGGACCTGGCTGAAAATCCTGGAGCCTCAGACCCGGTAACAGCTGCCTGAGTTCCTCACCACGCCCCGTTCACTTCCCTGACAGAAGATCCATGCTCAATAAAATCAGCCAAACCACTTGGAATATGGGCAGAGAGGGGCTTTCTCTTGCTTCTATGGAAAAGGTACTTCTCTTGAGCATAAAGAGCAATTAGATCCTTTTGTTTGCACCCAAGTAGGCATTTGTTTTCCCAGAATGTTTCCAAGTCTGGATAGCTCCGTATTTAAGACAATTTCTGACATTTTATCTATCTTCACATTTATATTAGAAACATGTTCAACAAGATACTACAAGTAAAATTCCAATTTTGATTTCTAAACGTAACAGGAGTTTAAAACTTTGAGACTCAGCTCTTGACTTGAACAGCTGGGAGTGCATGTCATTTCAGTTTCTTTTGGGCCCACAGGCATCGATAGAGCATTATATATTATAGGCATGAATCCTATCTATATTAGCTCATTAAACAGTTTCTTCTCTAGCAAACAATTGTGACTTCATAGCAGACACGTGTTAAGTGGCGGTATTTAAGGTGTGGTAGATGAGGAGGAGAACTCGGTGATTTCATAACCGAAAATGTCAGAGAATACCCTGACATATGAGGACACAGATTAGTTCTCTATATGTGAGGTTTGCACTGGACTGGAAATTCTCAGAAGGCCTTGAGAGGATACTGAGGGCTTAAAATTAGAGCCCCTACTTCTGGTCACTGGGAATAGGAATAGGTTGAAAAATTAGATCTGAGAGAACTTATTTTCTTAAACTTTCTTTGTATTTTACCAAAAGAAAACAGCCCAAACTTTTAACAATATTTAGCCACAACTATACTACTTTTGGCTTTAGAGAGCAGTTTAAAATTATATGTAATAACACTATGCATGGCTAGGATGGTTTTGTTTATGAGTCAGTGGTTTAGTTTAAAAGATCATCACGACACAGGCCTGAAATGTTCCTACTTTTGTAAAGTTCAAGGTAGAGTTGAAAGTCAGCCGAACACATTTTGTAACTGATATGGACAAGATAGAGAACAGGGAAGTCAGTGAGCTCCTGTGCTCAGAGTTCTTGGTAACCGAAGATTAGAATCAAATACAGGAGGCTGGGAAAATGGTTTAGTGGGTACGAATGCATGCTTCTCAGGCATAAGAACCAGAGTTTAGATCCCCAACAACCAAGCAAAAACTGGGTGTGACCATCTGGGCCCATAACATCAGCAACAAAAGGCTGGATGCAGGAGTGCTGCTGGGGATCGCTGACTGCCAGCCTGGGTCCAGTTTCAGTGAGCGATCTTGCCGACAGAGAATAAAATGAGAATAATAAAAATGCTCTCCTGTGCACTCATACACTGCACACACACACACACACACACAAACACACACACACACACACATCACCTCACAGATTAAAAAATAAAGGCCAAAGCTCAAATTAATTATTCTTTGCTGATTGTTCCAGAAAAACCATACAGAAAGTGGATCAATGAATAATATCAAAATAGATATTAATCATTCACTGAACAATTTTATCTATGACAAATTAGATGAGTTCCATAATTCTTTTTTCTTAATTTTTTCCTTTTTTAAAAAAATTATTAAATTCTTAAATACCAATCCAAATTCCCACTCCCACTCCCTCCCCCCCACCCTCCCATCCTAAGAAAGGGTAAGGCACAGTGCTCTATGGAAGGTCCAAGGCCCTCCCCACTATACCCAGGCTGAACAAGGCATACATCCAAAGAGAATAGGATCCCAAAAAGCCAGTACATGCAGTAGGGATAAATCCTGGTGTCACTGCCAGTGGCCCTTCAGTCTGCCCCAGCCATGCAACCATGAACCACATTCAGAGAGACTAGGTTGGTCCTATGCTTGTTCCTTCCCAGTCCAGCTGGAGTTGGTGAGCTCCCATTAGCTCAGGTAAACTGCCTCAGTGGATGAACCCACCATGATCTTGACACATGGAGTTTCATAATTCTAATTGAATTACTTGACTAAAAGTCTACATTTTTGCTAAACTTGAATATGCAATGGTCTGTGTGGTTAAGAAGACTGAACCTCATGCCACGTGCATGTTTGTGTGGCATAAAGTGAAACCAGCCAGCCCTATCTGCTCAAGAAGGTAGTGTGTGGTAACCACAGTGTGTAAGGAAACCACAGTGTGAAACAAAAGGATGTTCGAAGGGTTTAGAAAGCAAAATGAATTAGAACCATGCTAGCTGCATGCTGTTGTCAAAACACCCCCACCCAACGCTATCAAGGCACACATGTGAAGGCTTACAATGTCTCAACGAGATAATACCTCTTAATGACATGCTGAGTGATGTAGGAAACTGTTTTCTCGGGCATTTTCCTCTTCTTACTCCACTTTGTCTTTTAGAACGATCTCTACCGAGGGCTTCCTATATGCTAATATTCCAGATAGATTACTTTCCATCCATTTCCACTCCAGATTAATGATAGCCTGTTTAATGTCTGTCCTTACTTAGACGCCCACACACACCCCAGCGCCATCACAAATGACACTGTCTTTCCTGTCTTCTTCCTTCTTAGCTCCTGGTGCCTTCCTCTTGTTCTCTTGATCTCAGTAGATAGACAGCATCGGTAACCACCTATGAAGTAAAGCATGGGAGCTATCATCTTTATTTTCTCCTTTCCTTCACCTCGTGGTCTACCCAATAAGACTTGTCTGTTCCACCATCTAACGCTGTCGCAGAATTTTCTGCTCCACTCTGGTTTTGTTACCATTTCAGCCTGATTTTATTTCCACTCATTTATTGATTTCTTAATTGTTGAAAATGAAATTCTGGTGCAACTTTTATGGGTGTCCATATGATGAAGTTACTGCTATACTCAATATTCTCAAGGAAAACTATATCCTGTGCCTTGCTATAAAACTGTTTGGTATTTATCTTTAGCTTTGAATGTTGAGCATAGAAAGACCTCATCTTTGTAGATTATGGCTAAGCCTCAATGTGCATAATATACACGTATCAGTAAGCCTCATCTGAATTGGGCCTTGAACTTATGAATTTCCCAAGACATGACATTGTCAGACTTTGAAAGTTAGATAGCTATGATACCCATAGAACCATCAAGAAAACATTAGGTTGTTTGCCCACTGTGTGTATTTGGGAACAAATGTGCATATTTAAGTCAAGGGTAAAGTAATTCTCAAAAAGCACTTTTTTGTCAGAGAAGGTTAAAATGATGCCATGAATACATTTTAAGTGTAAGATTTCTTCCCTATATTAAGACAGTTATTCCACACCATACACTTATAATATCCATTAGCATGACCATCCCTAAAATACATCTGTATTGCTTTGTACATTCTTTTAAACTTTTTGTTTTATTTATTATTACCAGGGTAATGGCTTGGAGGAGGGGATGAAAGCATTTATCAATAGATTAATGACCCGAGTTCATTCTCCAGGACACATGGTTGAAGAAGAAATCTGGCTCCCACACATTGTTCTCTGGTTTCCATACATGACCTGTGGCACAAACACCTGTGCATGCAAGAGTGTGTGTGTGTGTGTGTGTGTGTGAAATGTGTATTTAGAGTCTCAAGTTATCTCATTTGAGTTAATATATTTTCATCTAGTATACAGCATATGATAAACGTATGTCCTGAACACATATAAAGATGAAACAGACATGACTCCCACTCCAAAGAGACAAAGCTTGAGAGCTGACTCAAAGTGAGAGTAAGATAGCATCGGCGTGCCCCCTTTGGGGTTGATTGATCTCAGGCCACACCCAGAGGAGGAGAAGACAGTTCATCAGGGCTCTCACCTCCATGGCTTCCACCGTTGTCCAAGAGAGGGCTCATTGCTGTACAGTCCTCAGGCAAATGGCCTCGAGAGCTTTAGGAAGTCAGTATGGTTTGTTGAGCCAAACAATTGATAAAATCAACAATTAAAATTGAATAATCACTTCCACTGGTTATTTGGAATGATTTCTGTTTAATTCTTACCTTGTGGAGGTATTTAAAATTTGAGATTATTGATATAGGAACATTTCTCCCTTCTCTTTTCTTGCTCCAAACCTTCCCACATACCGCTCCTTGATCTCCTTTAAATTCACGGTCCTCGTGGCCCATAACCATACTGATGTATATTTTGCTTATCACCATAGATCCTTCATCTGGCGAAGGACGGCGATACAGACGGATACCCACATTGGAGCACCGGACTGAGCCCCCCAAGGTCCAAATGAGGAGCAGAAGGAGGAAGAACATGAAAAAGAAAATCAGGACTGCGAGGGATGCTATCACCCACTGATACAAGGGAACGGATCTAATGAGAGTTTACCAAGGCCAGTTGGACTGGGACTGAACGAGGACATGATCTAACCAGATTCTCGGAATTTGGCCGAATTCTCTGAATGTGGCTGGCCCGAAGTCTTTCTGAAAAGCCATTGACTATGATACTGGGACTTGTTTCCTCTGCATATATTGGATTTTGGGGATCCAGTCTGTTTGGATACTCACCTGCCTGGACCTGGAGGGAGGGGGGAAGAAACTTGAACTTCCCACAGGGCAGGAAACCCTGACTGCCCTAAGGGACGAAGAGGGAGGAGGAGAGGGAGTGGGGGGAGTGGGAGGGTGTTGGGAAGAGGGGCGGAAATGGAAACTTTTATAATTTAATAAAATTTACTCTAAAAAAAAATAAAAAATAAATTCACGGTCCTCTTACACATAACCTTTGCAGTCTAAATAAGGTTATTTGTATGTGTGTTTTCAGGACTGATCATTTGCCAGTAAGTAACCAGTTGGTGTGTTCCTCCTTGGGGAAGACCTCCTCCCCTGTTCCCAGCTTCCTTCCGTTGTCTGGGGTTCTTTGTATAGGGCTGAGGCTTCCTGGGCTTTTCTCCATGTCGTTAGACATAACAATTGGTGTCATCCTTGTCCAGCTCATGCTTAGGCAGCCGTGTTTGTGAGTGTTCATGGCTGTAGCTTCTGACTTTCCAAGGAGAAACAATCTCACAGCCAACTCCCTGATTCTCTGTCTCCCACAGTGTTCCCTGAGCCTTAGATGCAGGAGTGTCTGTAAATGTATCCATTGTGAGTGGGCTCCAAACTGCCTGTTGCTTGGTTGTGATTTTCTGTAGTGGTCTCCACCTATTGAAATTGTCATTCGTTTGATATTTTCTTTGTTTCATTCGTCCTTAAGTCATGATTGTATTATTTTTCTCTCTTTCTAGGCATAGTCTAGTTACATATTAACATAACACAAATAGAAAAATACCTTACAATGAATTAAATGTAGATACCAGAATCTCCGCTAAGAGGTCTGCCAACAGCAGCAGGAAGCTGCTTTGCAGAAAAACCTGCATCAGCTGGCCAGCTCCAAAGCACTCCTGGCAGCCAACAAGAGTGGGGAGCAATGCTGAATGTTGCAGGCATAAGACATGAAAGCCCTAGTTTCCTTGGTGAAGGAAATATTTCTCATTACCAAACATTTAAAAGAAATAATATTTGAAGATCAAAAATAAAGTCATTTCAGACTGAGCCCATGTTGTAGTTTTGGTTCGTTGTATGTAGACCATCTAGATCAGTGACTATTTTGTACAGACTGTTTCCTGAAATCATGTTTTTTTATTGCTTAAGAATAATGCAATTTATATGATGTCTTGATAAGCCAAGCACAACTTTAATTGCTTGATATTGGACAGAAACAGTCGGGGTCGTGCAAACCCGTGTTCGTCTGTGTGAAAGGCCGTACATCAGACATCTGAATTTTTGTGTGCATGCTTGTATATGTGCAGGGTGGAGACAGACATGTCTTCAGTTAGAGTTCGCAACTTCCAGCACAACCGCGACAATCACACTAATGAGTCAAATACTATACATAATACATAATGTATAGTGGATGTCATTTGCATATTTATGTATTTAATGGTATGCTTACTATTTATGTATACATCTAGACCACAATTTAATAACTGTTAAAGCACTGTTTTAGTCTATAAAGGCTTGGTTGTTTAGCTGAAGGTTTAGATTTTGGCATAAGTTATAGTTAATTTTTCTGAGTATCTTGGTGCTATTTTTGGAGGTGTGTTTTTTTCATTTAAGAAATCCCATGGAAGTGTCTCCTATAGATAGGCACTCTTCCAAGTAGTTTACAAAATTATTGACTCGGATCACCACCCTGGAAGCCTTCAGTGGAGGGTTCTAGAAGGCTACCCAATTTGCAGAGGAAGGTAAGTGGCTCACCCTTGTCAGTCAGCAAAGGGGCAGGACTGAGACTCAGAGGACTGCAGAGTTCCTGAGCGCTTCCACGAGTACACAGCTTCCAAGGACCGACTGTCTGCGGGGATGCAAAGATGAGTCAGAATGTTGAGTGCAACGAACAGAAGTGTGTAGTCACGTCTGAGCGGGTTTTGTTTATTAAGTCGGGGGCACAGGGAGGGACCTCTGCGGTTTCCCTCATGGAGTCACATCTTGCCTGCCCTTCACCGGGGGTGGGGGGTGGGGGGACGGGGTCACGGCTGCAGAGAATCATGCAGCCACCTAGAAAGGCAGCTGGTCCCAAACAGCAGTCCTTCTGCATGTTACCTAGAATACTCTCTCGTCGTTTCGGGCTGACGTCATTGCTGTCATAAGTGCTAGGCTCGCCCAGGTGGCAGGCCGCCTTCTGTGGTGGAATAGTTTTTGGCCCGTCCTGCAGTCCTCCCGCCACTGTTAGCTGAATTCTAGCTCTTTTTTTTTTTTCACAAGCTCAGGAAGAGTACCTAAGCCACAGCCTATTACATCACCTGGCAAAATATGTTTAATGATTGATTGACAGTTTTTTGTTTGTTTGTTGGCATTTTTTATTTTTGTTTTTGAAGTACTGGGTGAAGGAGCAGGGCCTGGCAGATACTAGGCAAGTATGCTGCCACCGAGCTAAAGAACCTATCTTGGGAAACAGTTTAAACAAATAAAACATATCTATTTCATAATTTTTCCTGTTTTCAGCTTACACTAACATTGGGTAATAGGATATAAGTTGCTGTTTGACTTAAATTCTTATTTTTAACTTAAATTCTTATTTTTATATTTAATTGCCTCATGTGTGTGTAATGTATGTGTGTGCGTCAGCACATACCTCAATGTGCATATGTATGAATGCACATGTATCATCATGTGTACAGAAGTTGGGAGACAACTGGCAGGAACTGGTGTTCTCCCTGCACACTGTGGGAATTTAACTCAGGTCACTAGCGTTGCTGTAAATGCCTTTACCGATTAAGGCATCTCATTGGCCCACTGTGGGCTCCTGAGGTACATTTTAAACTAATTGAGGTCATCCTCTATGTTATTTCAGAAAGTGAAGAGTCTTAAAAGTGCCATAGAAATTTTAACACTACATAATTTTAATAATAGTTTATTATCAAGAATAATTTTAAAATGAGTTGTTCTAAAATAAATAAAATGCGTGAACTTAATGTTTCTTTAGAGACACTGAGGAAACAAGCTGATAGCCACTGCATCCATAGTGTAGCCCTGCCACCTCACTTCCCCCCCACACCCCCACAGAACATGTGGTAGATGTCCCTTCCCTTTGTTTTATTGGAGAAAGAACATTAGAGAAGTTAGATCAACCATCCAGGGCCAAACGAGTGACATCTATGACGGGTCACTCTGACCTCAAAACTTTTATTCTTTTCATCACGATCCTCTAAACTTTAAAAACAAATCCTTGTCATTTCCATTTCTACCTACAAATGGATACCCGGGCAGCAGAGGTGCACTTTAAAAGAGAGAGAGAACACCTTTAGAGAGAGCCCTTTGCTCCTTTCCCCCAATGACAGCGACCTAGCAACTGCGCTGATTATTCAGGGTGAGTTTCCGTGACTATGGTTTCAACGAGGAAGCACCAGTGTCTTAATTAAATACCTGCCCACTACACAATTAAAATGCTGGTTAAGGTCCCAGTGTGAAGCGTGAACCTCTGTTGTCTGTGCCCCAGCAACACGACTAGCACTTTGCAGATTCGATGCTCGAAGTACAGCAGTTTCACCTCAAAGCTCTCTGAATGGCGGAGAGGAAAGCGTTGGGGGGGGGGGGGTGGGAGACACGGACGGGGGTGGGGACGACGACCCTCAGCTGAGAGGCATAAAACGTTGCCGCTCACTGTTCTCAGGACCCTTGACCCTCAGTCCTATCTTAACCATGAACAACACAAATACTATTGTGTGAGAGAATCGCTGAAGAGACTTCATTTGCTCTCCCTCCGGGCCGGTGGGCGGAGGGAGCTTGTGGTCTGCGAAGCCACGGACGGTTTGAAACTGTTGTGTGAGTTCTGAGTACGCCTATATATCTGTATCTCTGCCGTGCCATGTGCCTTCTTATCATCAGGAACACAACCCGAGGCAGTTGGTTGAACGAAACAGAGAGAAAGTAAAGGCACACGCGTCTTCATTTCAAAGTTTGTGCTCAGCCGGTCAAGGGAGTGTTGACAAAGGTCGGGACTAATTCACTTGTGATATGAACATGATCAGTGATGGATTTTTCATCATTTTATAATCCCTTGACAGGTGTGAGCAAGGCTGTGCCAAGTTTACACCAACCGTTGGAAGTTTATTATTTCTCCAAATAAAATACAAACATCTGGCCTTGCAAAGTAGTTGTCACAAAACCACTGACTGATCATATTGAAGTGGCCAATGCACTAATTGTGAATTCCAGGCAACACTGCTGTGGAACAAAAGTCTGACAAAGCACACATTAGATGCCAAGTAAATACCCGTGGATTAAAATGTGAATATGGTTTTAACCTTGCTCTGAGGCATAAGCACCTAGTTTATTAGACATTAGGGGCTCTTTCTAAGGAGATGGACTTTATTCTGGGAGACGCTTTGTGATTCACATGCTCAGGAGCTGTGAGAGGCTTTCCCACTGAATAGGAAGCACAGGATGTACAATGAAGACAGGCTGATAAAAGACATTTTATTATTTCCATTTTCTTCTGTGAATGTCTTCACTTTAGAGACCTTTGAAAATTGTTCACAGCTATAAGAGCTGCGGAAATGAGTCATAGAAATAAAGGGGCATGGTTATTGAAAGGGGGGAACCGGACTTGAGGGAGAGGTTCTAAGGGTCGGAAGGAGACGATCCGGAGGAACAAAGGTGTTTGTCCAACCACTGTGAGACCTTTTCTGAGTCTTCAGACTCCTGTGGATTGGCCTTCTCTGCTCGTTCACAGGATATACATTTTTAGCCTGTTTACTCGGTAACTGGAACCTTCGCTGTTTTCCTCTTTGAACGAGTCATGAAGTGCAAGATGAGGAGGGAGGCGCTGGTTTCCAGCCCGTTACCATGAAATCCTCATCTCGGGCAGTGCAGGCTTTCAAAACAGTCTTTAGAAATCGAAGGTGGTCAGCTTAACCGTGTTCAGTTCGACTCCACCGGGGACTCTTAAGCCTTCTGATGACTTGGCCTGCAGAACCTTCTGCGACATCACATCAGAGACATTTGAATGAGAAGTGCCTGGAGTACCGGCAACGGAGGTCTCTTCGCAACGGTTTCAGAGTGTTTTCAAGAAGATAAGTTGTTGATTCCCCAGTAAAGCAGCACCCACCCACACAAGGAAGTAGCTGTAAACTCACGTACAAATGAAAAATCGGAGTAGGAGGGGACTCGCTCAGAAGCAAGATTTCGACAAGAGGGAGGGTAAGAGGGCGGAACTGGGGGAGGGGGGTGAAATGACTGAAGTGTATTGTATAAATGTAGAAAACGGTCAAGAAAAAGTAAGAAAAACATAAAAAGTAAAAGCAGAAACCCGTTTTAAAAAGCCAATGACTTTCTATATCAAAAGATAAAGATTCTTCTTAAAACGACAGCAACTGTGAACAGAAAATATCAAAATAAGTACCAAATAATAAAAATTTAATAAATATTTAATGAAAAAAATGATGGAGAGAAAGGATAAAATATAGAATGGGAGTCATCCAACAAAATAACGTTAGATTTTATATGAGCTTAGATTGTAATTTTGATTGTGTGTTTTTGATTGATGGAGTAATATTAGCCGTGACCCACTCCCTGAGGATAGAAGACTGCGTAGATAACGGACATGGATATTGGGTTTCATATTTAACAAGCTTGTGATAAACACTCAAATACTTATTAAATAGTTAAATTGAAAGTACAAGGTAAGTGATGATTTCAATGTATGGAATTATTAGAGAGGGATTTGAAAGGACACAAGTTATATAGGTTGATTCCACCCTAAGTCACTGTTTTGGCAGATAATTAATATACTTGTAGATGTATGCTTGTCATCCTTAGCCCTGGATGATATCAGAAAAGAGAAGATTCAATCTCTATCCCAGGATAAGCTCATCTAACTGATCTGAGGTAAAACCCAGGCACCTACAAGGCTTAAGACTTACAAAAGTGATTCTAACTTCCAGTGAGGTTTGTCTTAGAGCTACTATGGCTGTGATAAAACACCATGACCTAAAACAACCTGGGAAGGAAAAAGTTTTTTGGCTTACACTTCTACACCCCTGTCCATCACTGAAGTGTCAGAACACAGTCCCAGAACGGAGGCTTGTGAGAATGCCGAAAATCTCCAAAGAAACAAGAGTCTTGTGGCCTCAGTTCCTTCGACACACAGAGGCGGTCTTGGACTGTGTTTTCACGCTCCTACCAGGTGTAGCAGGAAGGAAAGAGTTCAATTTAGCTGTTGTTACTCATATGTCTCTATGGAAACACATGTTTTGCCACATGTGGGTTGTCCTGGCGATTCAACACCTTACTCAGGTGATTTTTCTTAGCCCTCAAGTGTGAACTGTCTGATACTCTGAGTAAAGCTGGCTCATGAGTGAAACTTTAGTCCCCTTTTTAAGCCCTAATCTCCAGGGTTCACACCTCCCGCAAAAGTGGTAAAAACTGAAGGAAATCAGGGCCTGAACTCCAACAGGGCAGGAACCTGGAGGCAGGAGCTGATACAAGTGGGTGCCATAAGGGGGCACTGCTTCCTGATTTGTTCCTCTTAGCTTGCCCAGCCTGCTTTCTTATAGAACCCAGGACCACCAGCCTAGGGGTGCCCCTACCCACAGTGGACTGAACTCTTCCACATCAATCACTAAGAAAATACTCCATATGCTTGCCTACAGCCTGATTTTATGGAGGTATTTTCTTAACTGAGGCTCTCTCCTTTCAGACGACGCTAGCTTCTGTCAAGCTAGCATAAGGCCAGCTAACACAGGGTGGGATTTTGATATAAATGGTCAGTGGACCAAAAACAGACAAGTTCCAGGCAGGGCCTGGGGAGGATTTATTAGTAGGGCCTTGGAAAGATGTGTAGTGGCCTGGAAGGTAGTCATCCTGAGGCTAGTCTAGCTTAACGTTGAGATAAACAAGTCCTAAAATGGAGTGGCCTGAATAAGGTTGGAAGTTAGAGGTAAATGGCTCTCGGACAAGCTGCCCTGATATTAGGGAGGCCCAGATCAATCTCCTTGGACAGATGGATAATATCTGCATGCCTTAAATTTCACATCTATGAAGTGAATAACCATTCTGCTTCACGGAACTCTCTCATAAATGTCATTGTGTCTGACCAAAGGATACAGTTAAAGGAGAAACCGAGTCACAGCAAATGGGAACATCGAGACAGAGGCAGGGGGATGGAACACTAAAAGAGCAAGCACAAGTCATGTACCTCATGAGCTCCTGTGACCTGACTCCCAGGGATCTGGGTCTCTCAGAAACTCCTGGTTGAAATGCCCCAGGGGAAACTCTAAACTACAGTTCTAGGAAACAATGCAACCCCTCCCTTCTTTCCTGATTCCAAGCCACTATTAGCAAACTGACCAACTCAGAAGTGAGACTGGCGAGGCCTAAGCCCATTTGTGCGACATCAGAAATGGCTCCCTTGAAAGTTTTCTTGGTGCTTCGAAACACTCATAGGAGAAGCAGAAGTAAGCGAGTCCCATGAGAAAAAGTTAAATGAAAATAGGAAGTGCCAAGCATGAAAGCCACATGCGTTTTGTAAGATTTTGTCCTTTCTCTCTGTGAACTTTTCTTTGCACATAAAAATAGTTGAAGTGGTTTGTTTCCTCCAAATGCTATCTTCATGGCAGCACGACTTTTAGAATTAATTGATGTAGCGATCACAGTATCTCAGGCAGGTCTGGAACTTACTGTGGAGCCTAAGCTAACCTCAAACTCACAACGACCAAACCTCCTCAGCCTCCTAAGTGCTGTGATGATAGGCATTAGCTACCATGTCTGGACTGTTAAACTAAAGTAGTACGTTGCTTAGAGATCAAGGGACAATTAGAACCCATTTTGAGCTAGAGAAAACACAAATTAATAATACAGTAGAGCAATCTACAAAGACGAGGTGAGATGTGATTAAATTGTCTTTGTGTTTGAAGCCATAGCGGTTTGTGAGGCCAGCCTTTGGAGCTATTTCTAGACATCACTGGCACAATATCCCCATGATATCTGTGCATAGCTGAGAGTGTTTGCTCCTTTTATTGCCATGGCAAGTCTCAGAGGGAGACTTGGCATTTGCGCATTTGCAGAGCAGCGAAGGAAACTGCAGACGGGGATAGATTGTCCTAAGACTATGTCCCTAGCCGAACAGTAACTGTGGCGAGGCTGAACTGAAGCCCAGCTTTCTTGGGGTTTAGATCATGATAGTTCATTTAGGCTTACAGTATCGATTCCCGTCACCAACGAATTCTTCAGCCAGGGTCAGTAGGAAGTATTGTGCTTCTTTCTTCTCTTTGATGTAGCAGCAGGGAACATACCCTCTTCATGGGAACATACCCTCTTCATGGGAACATACCCTCTTCATGGGAACATACCCTCTTCATGGGAACATACCCTCTTCATGGGAACATACCCTCTTCATGAAACCATGTATGACTGCAAATGTGGTTCATGCTACTTCACGATACATAATGTACATACATAAACATGTGTGTGAGTATCTTAGATATATCTAGCCTAAAAGTCTTAGGTAAGTTTCATAATTGTAGAATTTTCATTCATAAAATTTAAAACAGTTTATACCTTTATATTTGTGATCATTTGAATAAATATTATTAATGAAATTTATATGATTTTGATACTGAAAATGTCAACTTCATAATTAAAGTATGTTTAATAATTTAATTTGACAAAAGTAAATTTTTAAAAGTGACATTGGTGTTATAACCAAAGATCCTTTGAAGAAAAAATCTCACTTTAGAATATGAAAAAGTATTTCAAATGTGAACATGTAAAATAATTTTTTTTAAACGCATGAGATTTCTACAGCTTGACAAGTCAAAGTTCATATATAAAGTAAGCACATTAAAATAGCCAGGAAACCAAAATGAAGAAAGCCATTAATTGGGGACTAGTGCTAAACAAATTTTAAAACCCAGCATAATTCTCTATTCATAAAACCCTCCCAGGTCTCATGGTGCACAAACCTGTTACCCTGACTCCCTTGGAGGCAGTCGCAAGAAGATTATAAATTCAAGATGAACTTGAAGAAATTAGTGTGATCTTGTCTTAGAATGTGAAGTAAAAATAGGACTGGACATGTGGCTCTAGAATAAAGGAAGACGGACAGAGGATGAAAGGAAGAGAAAGAGGAAAGGGGAGGAGGTAAGGGAAGAGGAGAAATAAAGGAGGGTGGGTATCCCATACCCTACACAGCTTGAGGGATTAACCTAACTAGGACAGCAAGGAAATGAAGAAAAGACAGACACTGAAGAAATGACAGATACACAGACAAAGAAAAGTTGGAGTTGTGTGATCTAGACTCTGATGGCGAAGCCACAGCACCACCGCAGCTCAGTGTATTAATTTTGTGCGTTTGAACAGGGAAGCAGGAATATTACATAGTACTTAAGAGGGAGACAGGGTTATTGTCTACAGATATCCACTGCTGAACGAGGAGGCAGGTCTCCGTAATCGGGGTAGGAGCAGACTCTTGAGAGCAGTCTTCAGACAGTAAGTATCTAAGGGAAGATAGGCATGGTGGACATTTTCTTCTGCTCACACCATCAACGTTTGCACTTGGATCAGAGAAAGACTTTGCCATCCCTGTGGGCCTCACCCAGGGGACGCATGGCCACACTCATGAGACTGAGGCACTGGGGTCCTTGACATGGCCATGTCTGTGCCAACAACACGTTTTCAATCAGGATCTCGCTCACTCTCTACAGAGGACGAGATTGACACATGATGGGGGGTAGACCGGAAAGGAAATTGTAACAGCTCATCCAGGTACTTAGAGAACATTAGTATGTCTGAGAAGATCTCTGTACATTTGCAGCTCCTTCCAAGTTCTCTCTAAAACCTAAAAACTCAGGAGTACTTCTTGGACTCCTTTCTTTAATTTGATTTTTTTTTATTATTTTGGGAGAATTCATGAGTGTTATATTCACGTCATCCCACCCCCACCTTCTTCTCCCCATCCACCTCCTTCCTCCTTTTCCCTTGACTCATCTCAAATTCATAGCCTCTTCTTTAGTTATTTGTTGGGTCATTATGTGTTTATATGTGACCTATTGAGTTCATTTTGTGTTGCTTGTTTGTACATGTGTTTACAGCTGACCACTTGAGATCAGGTAGCATATCAGGGGGCTCATTCCTAGGGAAAAAAAAAAAACCATTGTTCTTCTTGGCAGTCATTGATTGCCTGATTGCCTGTAGTTTTTCATTTGAGGGTGAAAACTTGTGAGATTTCTCTTGTTCATATTGGCAAGTCAACTTGTATCATTTGCAGGTCTTGGTTAGGTGACCATATTGGTGAGATATAACGGGTAGATTTTCCCTATCTATCAGGCACAGACTCATAACAAACATCCTTGTCCTCTGCCTCTTACAGTTTTTCAGCTCCTTGTTCTAGTTCTGTCTCTGAACTTTGGGTTTATGGTTACACCGTAGATATATGAATTGAGTCTAGGTACCCATGTTCATTTATTCTCTGCTTTTGATCGGTGGTGGGTCTTTGCAGTAGGTCCTTGTTTGCTGTAAGAAGAACAAAAGTCTTTGATGACTGATGAGAGCTGAACTTATCTGTAGGTATAAGGGTATTTATAGTACAATAAGAAATTATGTTGGTATAGGAGAATGGCAGTAATAGGTTCACTTTTTGTATACCATTGTTCCAGCTATGGTTAGCTGCTTAGGTTTACAGTGCTAGGTAGGAATCCTGATGTGGGAGAATTGTCTGTATTCTGTCAATCATATTTTAATAAAACACTGATTGTCCAGGCAGGCAGTATAGGCGGGAAAGCCAGACAGGAAGTAGAGGTGGAGCAAAGAGACTGGGAGTATTCTGGGAAGCAGGAAGCTCCCTCTGCAGTTTTGCCCAGACCACCGGAGAGGAAAGATGTAACTTGCCCAGCTGAGAAAGGTACGGAGCCATGTGGCTAATGTAGATAAGGATAATAGGGTAACATAAGTTATAAGAGTTAACAAGAAGCCTGACCTAATGGGTCAATCAGCTTTATAACTTATAGAGATCTCTGTGTGATTGATTTTTATTGGGGCTTGCTGGTTGTGGGGTACTGGGTGGGACAGATACCCCAACAAGCCGGCCTTCATGCTACAGAATCCCTCCCATCCCATTGAGTGAATGATTAGTACAATTAGACAGCTGTCAGTTATCTCCAAGATGAAAGTAGCACTCTGATACCACTGGGAATATCCTGCCCATCCAGCCATTGTGGCTTTACAACCAGGTAGGACTAAGATTAAGCACCTTAAGATACCATGAAAACTCTTCCCCAGGGTGGAGGCTTCCAGGTCATTCCAGCTATATTCCTCCAAGTCCTGTATCTGAACTATGTGGTGTCTTCAGTAATGGGGTATTACCTTCAAGTTCTGGTAAAAATCTACTAAAATTTAGACTGTCCTGCAGGGCAGTCACTAGTCACTTGTAGCTTCTGAGTCTTTGGAGTAGAACTACTTTTAATTCTACTTGTTTTTCTATAATTAATTCTATTTAATTTCGATACCCTTACATTTAAATAGCCATGCAGATCTGCTGGCACAGTCCTGGTGTACTCAGCTGTATGCTCCAAGTTTGTCCAAGACAGCTCTAGGTCTAACCACACCTGTACAGAGCATGTTGTCTATAGGTGGTGGGATCTGGGAGAATGGGACCAATAAATGAGGCAGACTAAGCCTCACACAATAGCCAACTTTATTTAGGGCATCAGACAATTATACTCTGAGGATTAAGAGGGGTCACATGAGTGCAATCACAAGAACATGACGTGTCATGACTTCTTGGGGTTTTCTCGCAGGCACTCATAAATCTCCTCACAGGACTCCATTCTTTGTGTTCAGTTGTCATCTGAGGGGCGGCAGGCTTATTTTTCCTGTCTGTACTAATTCTTCTCTAGATGAGTCCATGTGCTGGCTATATCTCCACATAAGAATACTCGAGGCTGCCATGGATGCCTAGAGGCGGTCCATGAAACTACTTCTGGGTGAGATGGAGGATCAGAAACTGTCTAGGTAACAGGTGTTCCTTGCAATGGCTGTCACTTTTGCAAGGCAGAAGTTGTTTTGGTATTGCTCATGAAAGTTTGCAAAACTGCACTCTAATTTGGAAGAGGCTGAGTGTGTGTGTGTGTAATATGAATTTTCTAAAAAAGCAGATTTAAACACATTTATTCACCTGATTCAAGGGAATTCTTGAATCCTTAAAATAATGCTTCCAGCTTTTCAGATGCAAAAACATGTTTTTGAGGAAATATTCAAATAAGCATACGTTGCAGGAGAGCAGAACAAAGGAGAGAGTGACTGACAGCTATCAAGGGGAATTTCTAGTAATCTAAGAATCCTTTTAGTTACCCCTATATAGACAACTTTGGGTAGCCAACATAAAATTTTAAACAGCATTCTAGAGTGGCAGCTAGGGGCACAGGATGCAAATTTGACTTTCGTCTCTCCTATTACCCTTGGGTGTTGGAAAGTTGTCCTCTGCAGAGAAGAGGAAGCCCTGGGTTTTGAAAGCGTGGTTTGAAGGGTGGGATGGGCCACTTTGGGTCATGGCAGTGAAGGTGAATTCCCTCTCCTACAATCCCTCCCACAGCTGGAAAATATTCTAGAGAACACCTGTCAGAATGAGGAAATTGAGCATGCAGAAATGCAAAGGCAATAATGATACTAGCAACAGAATCTAAAAAAGAGATCACAAGAGCCAGCTGCTGGACACCACGCTCAGCACCAGCTCTGAAACCAGAACACGGTGCCAGAAAGGCAAGACAGGCAGGCACACATCCCATGCATTTCAGAGCTGTCTCTCAGCCTGTGATTTCCAGCTTGCTTTCCAGTCGGTTTAAAGAGCAAGCAGCCAGGTGGTGAAGAATGTGCTAGAGCAAATGACTGTGATCGCTGTAAAACAGAATGGAGGAGTGAGCCCTTTGCCTCGTGTACAAATGGTTGCTTGACCCTTTCTCTTTCTAATGTCCCCCAAGGGACCATGATCCATAGTTTGAGAACCACGGCTCTAACACACACACTAGGTCATCTGGCCTCACTCTTTTCCTGTTGATTATTATTTCCTCAGTGCTCTCCTCACTTAAGTTTTAGACCCCATCTCCAAACTTCACCAACACATACCTGTTCTGTACTTACATCTGTCTCTCTACCTATGGCTCCAATGGGGCTACATGGCTTCTCTCTAACTCTACCCTTCTTTCTCCCGGCATTATGTTTCACCTTCCCTTCCTACCTAAGTTCTGCCATGCTATAGGTTCAAAGCAGGTTTTTTATTCATTAATGGTAATCACAGTATACAGAGGGAAATCCCACATCATCTCCCCTTTTCTGCTTAAATGAAAAGGAAAGCTTTATCTTCAACAAAGTAAAATTACATATAACAAAATAGGTATCAAGTAAGAATTACAGTTACAATATTTATATCTACTTTATTCTTTAACATAACTAAGGAAAACTATATTAATTTTTCAACTCCATCAAAAACTCCAGAAAGATATAATATTACCTAAGTAAACAAGAAGCACATTATAAGCAACTTCCAAAATTCTACAAATGACTGAGACATCTTACTGTCTGCAATCACCCAAAGTTCTTCTGAATCTTAGGGGCATTCATCGTCAGCCTACTGGCCCATAGTATCCAGCAGACTTTTCCATGAAACAGGAAATGTGAAAAACAGTTCTGCCTATATTGGCAGTTTGATAATCACTTTTTTCTGTGTCCTGCAGAATGTCTGGCAGACTTTTTCATGAAGCAGGAACTCCGGAAGATTATCTCACCTTTAGGCAAGTTCAGCAGTTATTTCTCTGTGGGTCCTGCATGTCCAGTTAAGCAGTCTAGGCAAGAGCAGTTTCTTACCCAAATGGCTAGAAAACTCCATAAGGAGCCTCTTTGATGCCCATCTTCCTCTTGAAGTAATTGGTGCTGCCAGGAGCAGATGTGTCTCACTGTCATAAAAAGTCCTAAGTTCTTAAAACATTTTAAATTTATATTCTTTAGTCTTTGAAAGGTTTGAAGCATACCGATCTCACTGAAATAGATTTCTCTATATATAGAAAACCTAACTAACATGACTACAAGCTTGACTATTATAGATTATACATAATGCAAATCTCTATTGCAGGAAAACGCACCAGATAAGGCAAAAGTTCATCATAGAGGAAGATTGTCCCCCAAAGGAAGCTTTCTTTCAGAATGCTTTTTTTTCACCTGTGCATTTTCTTTATAGGTGCTATTTGGATAAAGTCTGCAATGAAACTTCCCCTAGACAATCATTCTCTAAGTCAAGCTATTTTATGGCTGATTTTCTTCCTTTACAATTTCCTGCTTTAGTATGATGTTTCTGGACACATAACCTCTCACTCCTTTTCAACAGGAATCTCTTCCTTTATGGAGAGTAACAAAACCAGGAAGAGAAGCAGGTGTTTCAAAGACTCAGGGGTCATAATTATATATAAGAAAGGAAATCTTCATCCTTCAACTATATAGAACATTATCTTTAAAAAATATGCCTTCCTGGGTGTTATCTTCAACTTGATTAACTGTGAGTGCTCATGACAAGCTTGCCAGGAAATTTCTGTGATGCCCTGTTTTCCTTGTTCTTGGTAATGAGAGGGAAACCCTACATAACACATTCCTTTGACTCAGCTCATGCCCTGACCTGCGGTAAGGGGTCTAACTAGAGTAAAAACAAAGGGACCTTAAGGGCTTTTGGCATCAATTCTTCTTCTTGCAATAATGGTGTATCAATCGAAAAGTCCAATTCTGAGTCACATTTATTTTTGTAATATGAGTTTTTATAAAATAGCCACATCATACAAATTGAATTGTAGTGCCATTAGTCTACTACTTTATTTTCTAATTGGATGAAAAGGAATCCAAAATGATCTATGGAAATAATTAAACTTTTTAATGTGATAAATTAGTGAAATTAACGTGTTAATTATTGTGAGACATTGAAATATTAGTGCTTTTCCACGCAGAGTGAGAAAACGTTAGAGACATTACCTAATGCCTTTTAAATGTTTACTTCTATATGTTACCTTAATTCTCTAAAATAAAATGTAAGTAAATACAAATATAAAATATCAGTAGACTTCTGGGTGCTTAATCCTTGTCCTTATATATACAGGTTCATGTATTGAGTGATACAGGCATAGTCATGTTGTCTATGAATTTTTGTAATGTCAAATACTACAATCAACCCAAATATCACTAATAGGAAATATAGAAATTAAGTTTCTCTGTGTAAAAATTGTGGCAGCAGACCATTAAATCAAAAGGCAAAATATCACTAACAAAATGATTCATTGATTAAAATCACAAGGATACCTAACATTTTCTGAGCAGCAATAACTGAGTGACATTTATGAAATGGGTAATTATAGGTACACCCTTTACATTTCTGTAGTGTATATACTATCACCAGCCCATTTATAAATAGGAAAATATAGATATGGAGAGGGATTTTGTTGTTGCTGTTGTCACTTTCTTTTGTTTCAGACACAAGAGAATGCACAAAGGCAATAATAATATAAAAACAAAACCAGTCTTAATCTGTCGTACATTGTATAAACCATTACAGAGTTATAATGAGTATGTGTCTATCTGTTAAAGAATATATGTTGGAAAAAAAAGAGGAGAAGGGAGAATGCACACCCTTAACTTATTTGAATTATAATTTTTTTTTAAAAAAAACATGTACCTTCCTATAATTTTTACTGTTAGTTCATAGATTGTTACCATAATTCAGTAGCCTTTTCAATTCCAGCAAGGACTTTATAAGGTCCAACACTTGGAAACACACTACCTCCATCACTGTGGCTTCTCTTAGGGACACAAAGCTCCCTAAACACTTAACATGTGGCTCTTTTAAACTGATTTATACTGAGACAATGAAACCCTTGCCAGTTTGGAAAAGAAAAGATGTGAAATAATTTCTTAGTAAAAATTTTATATTAAATTCTTGCAAGAAAGCCTGTTTTGCATCAAGTTAATTTACTGTTAGTTTCATGCATTTTTTTGACTTTTGGAAAGCTGTCTACTAAAATTTGAAATTGCCTGTCTTTTGGCTAGATGTTAAGGACTCTGAAGAATTCAGATTTCTTTGAGTTTCTTTCTTCCCCTTCAGCATTAGTGTTCCTCGGTGGACCTTAGGGTCCCCTAAGAAACATTAAGTAGCACCTAGGCACCCTGTCAGAGGTTCTGAATGACCTAGGCTGACCTGTGCCAGTGAGCTACTCCAGGATCTGCCGTGCTGTGAGCTATGCGTCCTAATACAAGGCCATGCAGAGAACAGCTTCTCTATGTTAAATGGTATTCTACAAACAGCTTGGTCATTCCTAAGGCGTTTTTCTAATAATACTTGAGGAGATGTATTTTATGTTGCTTCCCTAAGTAAAGGGTTTTTCTTTCTAAAAAACAATTTAAAATAAATTGGAAGGCAGGACAAATGTTTTACATGAATATGCTAAAAGTGTTTAAAATCTTTACTTGTAAAGATTCTTTGTTCTAAATAAATCAGTCTTATTTATAGTGTTATCTGTCCTCCAAGCCTGGTCAAGCAGTGGCAGGTAAAACACTTCAGAAGGAGCAAATGGAGGTTGCAAATCTGTTTATAGTCTGAGTATGATAATTTAAGCACTTCCCCAAAGAAGTCCTGGCTCAGAGAATGTGCCTCTGTAAATCACAGAAATACATTTTTATGGCCCTAACATTTTCCTGTCATATGAACAGAATATGGTGCACATGCTATTAGATTATTTTGCAACCTTCCTCCAAGTTTGTGAAAATGCTACTCAAAGTTGATTCTTTTCATACATCGTATTTTATAGAACCAACATTCAGTTACCCAGTTTTTCTAGCATTTTGCATAACCATTCTCCTTCCCCCGATCGTGTTTTTCTCCATATTTTGATTTCTGTTGCTAGCTGGACGGTAGAAATAAGATATGATTGCAAAAGAAACTAAATTAAAATGAAGTTGTGAGACACAGTTTTCTGTCAGTTTTCTGTAAGAAAATACTCAGGGAATATGATTTTCTTTCTGGACATTGATATTATCTACATAATTGGTTTCTGCTGTAAGGTATTATAAACTAAGCCACAAGGCTCTCAAAATTTGGTTAATATTTGAACTTAAATGCTACCTTCTGTTTTATTTCAGTTTTTTTCCAAATTACCAAAATTTTCTTATTAGTTACCTGTGTTGGCAAGATAGAATACTTTCTTCCAGGCAGACACATCTGTCTTGTTTTCTGTTTCTCCCCTTTTGTCCAGTAAAATAGTACACATGCATGGTTTTTAAATGAGAGGAGACAGGAATTTGTCAAGGCATTTTAACATATGATATTGTCTTATTGCTAATAAAATTTCTTAGCAATAAAGTTACAGTTTAGTCACTCAGACTTTTTTTTTACATTTTTCTTTTTACTCCTGAATAATTATAAAACTAGATTAGTAAATGATTTTAAAGCTAAATTTCTAAAAATATGTTTGTGTGTGAGAGTGTATGTGAGGTGTATGGGTGTGTAAGGACCTGGTATATATCACGTGGGAGGGGTCTGGTGTAGCAGAAGCCTGAAGAGGGCTTTCGTGGCCCACCTCTATAAATCTCTGCCTTGTTCCTCTGAGGCAGGGTCTCTTGCTTGCTGTGGGACAATGGTCTTGTACCCTGTCACTTGTATTGCTTTAATAAGATGCTGATTGGCCAAGAGCCAGGCAGGAAAGTATAGGCGGGCAACCAAGCAGGGTGGCCAGAACAGGAGAATTCTGGGAAGAGGAAAAGTTCGGTCTGAAGTTGTCACCCAGACACAGAGGAAGCAAGATGAGAAGGCCTCACTGAAAAAAGGTACCAAGTCACGTGGCTAACACAGACAAGAATTATGGGTTACTGTAAGTTATGACTTAATTAAAAAGCCTGAGCTAATAACCAATTTGTGATTAATGTAGGCCTCTGTGTGTTTCTTTGGGACTGAATGGCTATGGGACTCGGTAGTACAGAAACCTCTGTCAACACTTGCTGAATGAACCTGGCTATGTTTTTCATCACAGATGAAGAACAGCAGGGTCCAGCAATGCTCTTGTCTCCACCCCTCAGTGATGGGGTGGCAAACAGGTGAAGGACCTTTAAGTGGGAGCTAGGATGGGAACCCTGGTCCTTTGGCTTACACAGCAAATGCTCTTAGATGCTGAGTCATCTCTCTCCCCCTAAAATGCTTTTCAAAGTAATTTTAAAACAAAATCATTTGTTACAAAATTTCGGGGAAAATAATTGGACTACATTTTCTACTTTTGTTATTAAGTATTCCTTCAAGGGGCAAGTGACAGCTGTTGATGTTTTGTATGGTGGCTACTGTAGCCTTCATGGAACTGTAGTGCATCACTCACTCATGTCACAGAGAGTAGGTGGTCAGACTGAGGAGTCCTTATTAATTGAACTATGGGGGCCTCATCTTGGAAAGCCTGTGATGGTCGGGTCAGCCTAGTTCTCAGCTTATGATCAAATGAAAACAATTATCAGGTCACTTTGAAAGAAAAGTCTAGTGTGGTTGTAAATTGGGGCCACTTGTGAAAAATGCCATTCTTTTGTTTAGATATCTCAACTGGCAGTAATTGGGATTTGTGAAACCAGACATGCTAGCTTGCTGATCTGGAAGCCACTATGATATCAGGTAGAATTATTCTTTTTAAATCAAACTGCATGTGGAAAGGGCCCCATAAAGTACAGCATATACTTAACAAAGCAGTTGTAATGATATTGGGAGTTGTTCAAGCCTTGTGCGATCTCTCATTAGTATATTTTTATATGTGTGCTTAAAGGTGAAGAATGTTCCAGCAGAGGGGGCTTCATACATTCACTACTTCAAAACAAATAATCAAACATTAATCTATATCTACTATGGAATGATTAGCTTTTTAAGAAATAGTGGTATTTCAGGAACATGATTTTTACTAAATCAACCCTGGAGAAATTATTCCTCTGCCCCTGACTTTGGGGCTTTTTCTTTTAAGTGGCAACAAAACACAACAGTTGTAAATGTACTTCTTGAAACTAGGTGAAAAGAGTGACGATGTGTATTCGCTGTCCTAGAACCCCTGCAGGAATTAATTTAGGTCTCAACTGTAAAGCAGCAAACATAGCCAGCACTCGACAGATTGGAGCTCTCAATATAGTAAATTGCAAACTGTGAAAAATTATGTAACAGTTTATGCAAATAAAACTCTGCAAAACCTTGACAACAAGAACTTCAGTTTTAGTCATTAGCTCCTCTGCCTGGAGGACCCTTTAGCACCGCCAGGGTAGCTTGACATACATTCTCCTGCTGTCTAGCTGCTTAATTACTCAGCAACTGGAGTGATTGGGCTAATATTCAAACATGAGTCACTACACATTTATCCTCCTACATCTAAATCTCATCATTGCAATGGTCAAGACTTATTAGGGGGTTCTTATCTTCCAGACATGACACGTAGATGGTTTCATTTGGTCCTCACATGACCCTGTTGGGAACAGGAGGCTGTGAGGGTCAGTTTGTCCATCGTGGATACAGCTGCCCAGCTTGTGTCAAGATGGCTAACATTGTGGAGGTCATTATAAAATGATTAACAAAATGGATATGCAGAGAACCCCATAGTAAACAGTGCTGTAATGTGTTATATAACTATTTAGGGGACTTTCACTTTTGTGGGGTCCAGTATAAATCTGGCCTTGAATTCAGAGGTTTGCGTGTTTGACTTTGAGGGCCTGCCTGTGTGTCTCTGTAGGTCCATGTGCCTGTCTCTGTATGAGCTGAGCAACCTTCTTCCTGTGTGTCTGTGCCTGCCTGTGTGAGCCCTGGATGTGCTGGTATGTGATGGGTACCTGCTCGGATCTGCTCCCTAGTGATCTGTGTGCCATTCATCACTAAGAGTAAGTCAAGTGAGTCTTAGCAATCTATGACCCCTCGGATTCGCTTCAACTCCTTGAATCTTATGACCTTCCTCTTTTCCTCATTAAGTCTTGAACACAGAGAACTTTATATTGGAAGTCCTATTATTTTTACTCTTTGGGTAAAAGAACTAAGGCTTAGTTAAAAAGGGTAGAGAACTTGCTAGGTGTTCTGCAGTGAACACACATTGAAACTGAAATTCAATCATAAGAATCAGATGTTATTATCTAATTTTAGGCCTAACATGTTTCTTTCAAATATATATATATATGCATATTATTTATGCATATATATTTATGACATCTATACAGTAGATAAAGCTGTGTATTTATTTAAATGTATATTAAAGAGCTAAACTTTCAGTCAAACCTGTGGTTTTTGCATGGAATGTGCCTAAAAAGGTAAGTGGGGAACATGCACTAAGTAGACCATGCCCATATCATGATGGGATACAAAAACACCTATTAACATTTCCCTAGTTAAACTTAGAATATAAACATTATTGGGTTAGTTGATCACTACTATGGGCTCTCATTTATGGAATGTCTACATCATTTCTTTCCAGCAATGCTCTAATATCACTTCAATATGCAAGGTAACGATTATCAACTACAGTTCCAATGGTACTCTGTGCTCCCCTCTTTCCTTGACCTGTCATGGAGCAGTGCCACATACATATGTCCTAAAGCATAATGCTCATGATACAGAAGGAAATGCTGGCTCTAGAGTGCTCAAAATGAAATCACCCAAACATTTTAAGATAGAAGGAAGGAACTGATGTCTCACTCAGAACAATCTGCTGGCATGCAAAATCACCAGCTGTAATAAAAACCAAAACAGCACGCAGAGAAGAGGGATTATTATGTGAAACTTGAATTTTTATAGACCGTCAATGAATTTATACTTCTTCATTAGGTGTAGTATATTTGGAGACTTAATAAGTTGTATTTTTTAAAAAAAAATTCTACCAAAACATTGCTTTTGAAATGCCAGAAGACTACCCTGTAGTATCCTAGAAGTATTAAGTCATTTTGCCTCTCAATTTTTTTATTAAAATGCAGTTATATCATTTCTACCTTCCATTTCCTTTCTCCAACCCCCTTTCTCTCTCTCTCAAATATATGGTCTCTGACCTCTTTTTTGTTTAATTTTTGTCACACGCACACACATACACAAACACAGACACACACCTCCTACTCAGTCTATATCATGTAACCTGTATATATACAACTAAGAAGCTGATCACTTGGCAATAACCAGCTGGGGGCGGGTTCTCGCCCGATGCAGACTGTTTTCTCCAGTCTCAGTATTTCTTCGCTGTCTGTAGTTCTTTCTCTAGTATTAGGGACCCCTGAGCTTTCTTCTGTCCACATTAGCATGTCTGCTGACGTCGTCCTGCTTAAGGTATTACTGTGTTTAAAAAGTGAAACAGGAGGCCTCAGAAACATCAACATGGGGTGACAGAGGGTGAAATTGCCTTGTTACAGGAGCCCTGGTTTCAATGTGCCAGGTTATCATACAGCTCCGGCAATTGGTGGGACGATTCCCACGTAAGTTGCCAAATAGTGTGAGTGTTTATCTGCGAGATAAAATAAGGAAAGGGAAGCTGATGGGGCAGCTCTGTCAGAAACGGTGGCAGAAGTGACCCAAGGACACAACGTTCTTCACTTTCCCCTCCACAGAACTGACTGAAGGGGGAAGAAGGGTTCACTGATTGCTCAATGCTGTAGCTGACCTTATGTTTGTTAGATACAGGCTGCCTAAAGAAGCCCAGTGGGACATAGTGCAGGGCCAATCATTGTTAACTCTTACAACTGTAGAGGAGACTTTGAAACTGTCGCTAGCTTCAGCATCCACCGTCACATGGAAGGGTTGCGCTGCGCTCTGCACAGATGGTGCTAACGCAATGGCATCCAATAAGAATGGCTGTTCCATGTATTCAAGCTGTCGTACTGGAAACAAGATCTATCCCCTGTTTCACACATGGGGGACGTTCTCACCACCAGAGATGTTTTTCAAGGGATTTAATAAAAGAACTTAATGAAAATATAGACCGTCAACCACATTATGGGTAGCAAATTAAACCCACAACTTTTTCTCAGCTTCGCAAAAACACCGGCACTGATTTCAAACACAGTTATTCCTGGAGGAACCTAAAGAAAGACTTTGTGTCTTTGGTGATAAATCTTAAACGATGTGTAAGAACAAAGAACACACTTTGGTTTGTAGATCGTCATATGGAAGATATATGTTCTCTTTCAAATAAGCTAATGCTGTCATCTCTAGACAAGCAACTCCCCTCGTGGTCGGAAAAGGGAGCTGACTCTATGGGACACACGGACCTGATACAGTGAGCTGGATTAATATATTGGTCCGGATGGCTTTATAAAAACTCCTTAAAATGAAATAAAGAAGATATCCTGAAGATTACAAATACGTAGTGAGAGATCCCTCCATCAACACTTGGCAAAGGAAACAAATCCGAGGAATAAGTGCGTGCTACAGTTTTATAGTTTGGCCCGCATTACCAAATATCCCAACGCGCTCAGTTTTAAATACATTTAAATGCAGTTTTAATACACAGAGCTATCTGAACATTTATTGAGCTGACGTTACTGAAGATATGTGTTGGCTCCATGAGTTGTGATATCACCCATGTCGCGTCTGTCACAGTAACTGGGTTGTCCACTCCTGCTAAACTTGATATATATCCATAAGTGAATCCTGTCTCCATGAACTGTAGCATGAGGGCTGGCTTGTTGGGGTATCTGTTCCCGCTCAGTACCCCACAGCTAGCAAGTCCCAGAGAAAATCAATCACACAGAGAACTCTATAAGTTATAAAGCTGATTGGCCCATTAGGTCAGGCTTCTTGTTAACTCTTATAACTTATATTAACCCATTATTCTCATCTATGTTAGCCATAATGGCTCCGTACCTTTCTCAGCTGGGCATGTTACAAGCTGCCTCTTCGGTGGTCTGCGCAGGAGTGGCTAGGAACCTCCCTGCTTCCCAGAATTCTCCTGTTCTCATTGCATCACCTCTACTTCCTGTCTGGTTTTCCCGCCTATACTGCCTGCCTGGCCAATCAGCGTTTTATTAAAATATGATTGACAGAATACAGATAATTCTCCCGCATCAATGAACTTACCATACTCCCACTAAATAAATGTTTTAATAATAGTCTTTGTAGAGGACCTTATGAAGCTTCAGGTGCTGCTCCTTCAAAGAGAAAGCACCGCTAATGCTCCCAAACCCCCGTGCTTTCTTATCATTGTCTTCCATATTATACATTAGGATACTCTGTCTTAAGATTACCATGGTTGTTACCACCCCATGGGTTGTACTAATCTTTAATATGAGTTAAAATACTTGTTCCATTAAGAGTTCTTAACGTGGAGGTCCCAATTGATTAATTCTAGTATTTTTAATACTTCATTTTTATTTGAACATTTATGTGTTTATTCTTCAAGGGGCCCCTTTTATATACAGTCTATGTTGCCTTTGTTTTATTATATGTCTTTTCAAAGAATCTCTTTTTGACCAAATTTCGGAAATCCTTTTAAATAATTAATAAATTCTATTTTTCCCACATTTTTAATAGATCTCTTCCCTGCCAAGTGTTTGATGTTTGTCTTTGAACTTTACCATATCTTCATTTCTTTACTTTATTTTACATTTATTATCAGGTAATTGTCCCTAGTATTTTTAAGAGATGAAGCTCGCACTGAATATCAGCTACTCACTTGTTTTAGAAAGCCATCGTGTGCTTACTTTCTCTGCTGTACACTTCAGAAGCTACCCAGCTGTGCTTGTGATCTCATGATCTCCCACATTATTGGGATAATAACGCTATTTATCCCCGCTTTTATCCTTTTTCTCTCCAGGCAATTCTTAGCAGCTTTTAGTGATGTTCAAATTTCATCCATAAAAGTAGCCTTCTCTCTTTGACCACATACCTCTCTTCCATGAGTGGCCCACCTCCTCTCCATGGCTTTCCTCTTGAAAGTTCAGCAATACCAGCTGTCCCCATATATCATGTGCCTGGGCTTTTGCCAAATACCTGCCCTGAATTTGCTCCTACCACAATGTGGTTGCTACTTGGTCCTTTGTGTTGTGTCTCCTGCCTTCATAGAACTCAAGTCTTTGTTCTGAAACTCTTACCTCCCCTTTCTGGGACATCCAGTCAAAAAGTTCTGAAAGATAGGTTCCCCATCAAGATAACTTACCAGAAAATGTTTTGTTAGTCACAGACATCCCTGGCCCTAGGTCAGAGTCTTCAGATCTGATTTTATCGCTACCTTCTTGAAAACACTAGGACAGCAAAAAACACCTTAAAATCAATGTGTCTTTTACTGAATTCCAAGTTTTTTTCACTATGCTGATTGATTCTTGTACCATGTTAAGAAAGAGAGTTGTTAGAAAGCCAACAGTGATCCACGAGAAGAGCGTCAGGGAACGTGGTGTGACAGTTGTCCACGCTAGATCACGACAATCCCTGGAAATCATGGTAAAGACTTTGGATGCTTTTGATCTCTTGATCTCCCACTTCACTGGAAAAGTAATGCTATTTATTTCTACATTTATCATTTTTTCAGGCAATTTTTATTTTTGAGACACAGAGCCATTGGAAGATTTTAAATAGAGGAGTAATCATATGTATTTGATAAAAAGGTTTTTGTTTTTGTTGGTGTTTTCTTCCATAGAGAATGCTGGAAAGAATAAATGTGAAGCCCAGCAAGTCTAGTGCATAGGTTTAGGTAACGGATAACTTGAAGAAGATCTTTAGTGTTAGCAATGCAAGAGGTGAGATCTTAACACTTTCTCGGGGAAAACCAAACTAATTTTAATAGACTATATATAGAGAATAAAAGAAAAAAGATGAATCCAGGACCACTCCTGAGCATTCCAGTGTCATGCTCTAATCAGAGGACATTTCCAAGAAAGACACATGTAGGCAGGCACTAGAACCAAGAAATAAGTTTAAACCCTGGTGATATGAGATGCTCACTAGACATTAGGTGATATTGCTGAGTATGTGATTGAGTCAACAAATTGAGTTCTAAGGAGGTCAGAGATGCAGGGATGTGGGTGTAAACTTGGGAGCTATTAGAGGCACTACTGGAGCTGAGACAAGGAAATCCAAGCACATAAGCAATGCAAACTGTTTTGAAAAAAGTCAGGCTTTTTTGTTTGTTTGTTTGTTTGTTTTTGTTACTACCTCTGACCATGATAGATTTTGAGACAAGGGAAAAAGCTTCGAGGAGGCTTGTTGAGCTTCTTTCCAAGCCCATCTTACTTCTCTGACTTAGAAACTTGCTTAATGATTTAGAGATATCTAATATATCAACCAAACCTTTATCACCATTTAAGACTCGAGTTCAAGAGTTGGGGAGAGGCTCAGTGGGTAAAGTATCAGCGTGAGGAACTGATATAAATACTGATTACGTGAGAGTTTCTGCCATGCCTATACTAGATGCGCTCACATGAACACACATGTATGTATTTGTGTGTATGTGTGTGAGAGAGAGATGGGGGGGCACAGACCGTAGAGAGTCACTGGACCGTCAGTTAAAAAAGTAAGCTACAGGTTCAGTAAGAGACTGTGTCTCAAAAAATAATATTGAGAGTAATCATAGCTAGTAAACCTGATATCAAACTCTGGCTGTCACATGCACTTCACAAGAGCACCAAACAATATACACCACATGCACATGAAAAAAGGAAAAAACAGTGTCCAAATCTGTAAAAAGCCATGCTCCTCCAGGTTTTAGCACCGGGGATTTCTTTATTTCAGCAGAGAAGTTCATAATATCCCTTAGTTTGTGTAAAAAGGAAGAGTCCTCCAGGGTTGGTAGACCTTGTCTTTCAGGGCTTGATCTCACTTCAGCACTATCGCTCCTGACCTGGGACTCTAGGTACCTAGGACATTTATTTAAACATAATTCTTTATCCACAGTTGATCCCTCACCCAGAAATACTGACGCCGCGTCATTTCCCATGACCACATTTTGATAGACGGAGGTTTCTTGTTTATTAATCTTTTCCAATGTTAGCCACCAAGGTAAATCCCTTAATTAGATTCAACCAACCCTTGGAAACATGGAGTCATGTAGATGCTACCTGGTTTCCGTGAAGATCACAAAGACAGTGAGACCCTGTTAGGCTTCGCTGTTTGCTGTGAAAGAGAGTGATTTCTGTATAAAAGCAGACACAGGCCAGTCCTTATATTCCTGAGATATTTCCATTGACATGGCGGGTTAAGTGGTTTATTAGAACAAGTCTGCCAAAGAAATGCCAGCAGCCTTTACCATGAATACTGCTATGCTGTTAGAAAAGATTCACAATGTTTCACATGATATTTAGATTTTATAGAGAACTCCCCAGTCTATGTATAAGTTCCTTGGGGGCTTTGATGGGGAAGGAAATCCCTTGAGTAAGTCCCTGATGGAACAAACTGAAGGGTTTTGTTTTATGGCATTTGCATGCCCAAGCACGTCAGTCCTCCTTGAGTCAGGCTCCCTCCTGTCTCCTTATTCTCCTGTCTAGAGGACCTGCTCTCCAGCTATACGTAATTCTCCACATTCTCCAAACACGTCAGACTGTTCCCCACCTTTGCCCTTATTTGTGTGTCTTATTCTATTAGAATCTCCTTTGTTTCTTTTTCTACTATGTAAAAATTAATATGCTTTTCTTCCAAGGCCTAGTTCAGCAGCATCTGCTTAGGAAGAGTTTCCAGTCCCCGCTGCTGTTGCTTACACCGGGTAACACACTCTCTCATTGTGTATTATCCCACGATATTACAACCATTATGTCTTACCCCATTTATGTCTTTCCAAGTATTTACTAAGCTCACTGAAGGTTGGCATACCATGTGTGCTTAATGTCAGTGCATCTATACAATTCTGGGTGTGCAAAGAGATGCTCAATAATACCTTGATTTATTCAAGAGTGATGCTCAAAATTAATGACCATAATAATCAATCTGAATTGCTGTTCATTCAATCAGAAGGGACACCAGACGGTGCCCATCAGTTGAGCTAGCTTCTCCAAGTTGGCTGAAGTTGTATGACATGCTTTTGTTCCTTATTTGTCTGACCCTCATGGATCTGGCACAATATTATATGAACAAATGATTACCCAGTTCAGTACATATTTCTTCTCAGAACCAAATGTTAATATACTTCCCATTTCTTTATAAAACCATGTCAAGTTCCCTAACAGAATCTCACCGGATCTTCATCCTAACATATCTTCCAAATTATTTACATATACATACTGGTAGCATATAGGCTGAGCAGGTGGTATTTATATTTAGATGACATGAATTTGAAAGAGAGCAAGGGAGTTTGGAGGGAGGAAAGGGAAGGGGAAATGATGAAATTATATTAATTTTAATAAATTATTTTTTAAAAAGCATTGATTTTTACCTTGTAAATAAGGTTTGGGAGCTCCCTAGCAGTTCCCTATATTATGAAATATTTTCATTGGCCCCATCAGTTAGATCATGGAGAATGATCAAAGATGAACCTGTCCTTGAAAGTTTATTTATACGGCGTCTAGAACTGTCTCAACCACTGACCGTGTGCAACAAAACTCCACCCACCACCAGCTCATGTTTCACACAATGAAAGCGGTTGAATGAACCAACAATACCAAAGCAACCACGGATATTGATAGGAAAAGAGCAAATTTGCTGAAGCTGATATGTCATTTTTGGACTCACGGGATTAGAAATACCTTTCCTTGGAAGACACTCAATGAAGGTTAAATTGAAACTCCAGTATATAAAAAAATGATGGTGCATTGTTGACAGGTGAAGGTACACATGGAGAGATACCTAAGGAACGCAGGGAGAGCACCTTGGTCATCAAGGTGTAAGACTGAACCTTGTAGAATTCCAGCATGCAGGGTCGCAACTCATACGAAATGCTACTTAATCTTTAAAGAGTATTTGCAACAATCCAGTGCCCTCTACCAT